TCCTCTATCAAAGCCACCACTCTCCGTCACCAGGGTCACGAAACATATGGTAGATTTCCTGTGGGGCGCGGAGAGCGCGCACGAAGATTCCATCGGGCTTGTCGTCCTCGTGTCTACAGACCCCCCTGCTCTGTTGACGAGCGGTGCGGACCGCTGCGTAAAGGCCTGGAGGCTCGATGGTAGGCCGCAGGGGCTGCTTCTGCAAGGACTGGCGCCTCACGCGCCAAACCCACGGTGGTCCTTCAGGTGTGCCTTGTGATTCATTCACCTCAACTTGCTTGCTTTGTGCAGCACGTGGGTTTGCGATGGCATTGGGCACCCTCACATACGCTGGTAAAAGCGCACTTCAATTTTTCGTGTGGTTTCTCTCGAAAAGCGTCGTTAGTATGAATACATACCATCCCCAACAACAAACAAATCCGTGGAACTACCTTATACCGTGGTGTTCACTTCGATGACAGAAACCCAGTAGAGGGTACGCAATCATGGCATCGTCAAAATTCGGGAAAGCGCGTAATACGAAGTCCGTGCCTTCTTCGCATTCGCCCGGCCCTGCCTCCAGCGTCAACGTGGAAGCTCTGGCTCAAGCAGAAAACGCCGAAGCTAGAACTGTGCTATCAGCGATGAAGGAGCGCGCCGCCAACAACCGTCTCGCAGCGCAAGAGGCGGCAGAAGCTGCAAGGTTCCCCGACCCTGACCCACAGCGTCGCTACCACCACGACCACCGCCTCCACCAACAACAGCATCGTCGTAAACGCAGTAGCGCCGGTGGTGTCTCTGTTCCACCTGCGGAACCGTCCCCGCTGAAGCAGGCTCAGCTGTTGCGGCAGCGCAAAGAACATACAGCGGCGATGGCACGGGCTGCTATAGAGCAAGGGTCTAAAATTGGTGGTGATGGAAGCAGTGACAGGCAACCTATGCCGGAGGAGGAGGTCAGTGAAGGCGCCTCGGAGGTCACGCTCTCTTCTTCACGAGAGGCCATGCGTCACGCGGCGTTGCAGGCAATGTCGGAAAGTATGGGGAATTATCGCAAGGGCGACTCCTGCAGCGACTGGACAAGGTGCATATCGGCCATACCGAAGCACTTCGGAAGTTTTTCGTTCATCGCTGTTTGATGGGAAAATATACGTCGAGACACGAATACCGTAATATGAAGTTGTACCAGTACCTAAACCAGTAAAGCCATCCCGACTGATAAACCCAATAACAGTGGCGAGATTCGATTTTTTTTTGCGCCCCAAACGGCTTTCGCAAAGGAAAAGGCAGTATCTTCAACCAATAACGCCCGTCTCTCGTTCGCTCGTCGATTTGCTCGAACATTAACACAACTTTAAATGGACAAGCTCCACGTCATCTTCAAGGTCTTCTTATACTAGGTTCAAGGGTCGTCCTTCAGTAGTGCCCCCCGCTCCCGGTAGACGGCGAGGGAGGCCTGCAGCCGGCCTTTCGGCTGTCGTTGATCGCGTTGGCAAGGTAAGAACATGCTCAAACTGGAGTTCGTTCTACCATTTCGAGCATATTCGTTGTGAAGGTACCACGAACATGAAGTTGGGGTCACGATACCTCCCAAGCGCAGAGAAACGTAAAAGCAATAGCCGAAGAACACGCGGGCGCTGCTCGTTGCACCACGGGTTTTGGCACCTACAGGAGCAACGAGGGCCGCACACGTGCCCCAAATACACGCAGAAGGGGTTGTGCCCTATTCTTCCCCCCCACCGATATACCGAGATAAATGTCTTCTTTCGTGACAGCTTCGATACGAATGCCAAGAGACATGCTACAACCCGCGCAGAGACCCAAGTTATGAGAGCATCATTTATCTCTGCCCTCGCTCTGTTCATACTTCCTTAAACTCCCACATGTGTCTGTTGCATTGTGCCACTGCTATTATAATAGCTCCAAATCCTTCGATCTGTCCCCAACGTATTCAAACCCCGCTGCATACAGCTGCTGGACCAAGCGGAGAGCTTTTCGGCGGAGCATACCAACCGTTTCGGTGGTCGTCGGTCGAATCTATCGGATTTTGCCCAAGGAGCATTGCTTGCAGATCCGCGCAGGATCCCCCCCCCTCGTAAAAAATGAAGCGGTGGTACTGCGATGACATTTCGATCGACGGTGCTGGGTGAAACGGCGAGTGGCAGCGGAGGCGGTAGCCAAGTCAGCAAATCAGAACCGCGGGGGGGGGGCGATGAGATACATAAAAGGGGGTAGTTGGCTCTCGACCCGACATTGAGAATAGCTTCATGTTTGAAGTAAGTTGTGTTCATGCTGAATCGACGGTACTAGTTACGGGTTGACGGGCTTGGGGATTGTTGTTTTATTGCAACACTCAGCTTGTTGTCATTGGCCCAGAGCCGGCAACAAACCTAGTGTCAGTGATCCACGCCGTCTCTCAGAAACACTGTAAGGACCGCATCTGAGTTAGTGGTAGGTCCATGTCTGTATGACCTTAGTATCCACATGGTACACGGCAGAACGACCAAACGATTTGTGTCTTTTTTTATTACAACACGAGCAGTCGTATCCCCGCCCCTGCGAGCGGCTCATGATATCGCAAGAAGGGTGGTGCCTCTCTGGCGGTGCATCTCTGGCACACGACACTGTGCCGGTAGCAGACGTCTCTCCAGGTTTCAATGAGCCGGGTAGGACAAACAGCCATTCCCAACCAAGGGTCACCGACGGCCGCCCTGGGTACCGTCGCAAACCTATTCTCCTTTACAACTTCAATCTAGTATCTACCATCGTTGCGGTCTTAGGACTTTACCACGTCGATTGTTCGTGTGACTGTTGCCTATGCAGCTTGAATACACTCTTGTACTTTGCTCCGTGCATCTTATCGACTGAGAGATCCCCATTTTCTGTGGCTTGCTCTTTGTCGCAACAGCAGTGGATAGAGCAATTCCCCAAGGATCCAGACTATCCACGTACGAAATAGGTCAACCAACTACAGTTCATCGCCTTCCTCAAGCATGCTAGATCCAATCTCTATGTCATTCGTATCCACGAATTTATGACAATACCCCAATTAGTCTAGTAGTCAGGCACCAAACCAAAGTCAGCTCCCACCACATCATCGGGCATACATCGTACTGTCATCCTCATCGTTTTGCACATTCTGGCGCCAATTTCCACTAGCCAGAAACAGCAGTCCCGACGGAGTAGGACGAGCTCACAACGTCATTGGGTACCGCCGCGCCCACGGCACCTGTCGACAAATGTCGTGCGGAAATCCCCCAAGAAGACCGGGGGGAAACGAAGGCTCGCCCTTGGCAGCTCCTGCGCCCACGGAGGCAAGCGATCTGAAGCAATTGTTGTTCGGGTAGTCGCGGGGAGCCAGCAGTACTGGCAAAACTAGATTGACGCACGACTTCGATACGTTCCAGGTTATCCATGCCTCCATTATATGTAGCCGAGTCTTTCGGGTGTTCGGGGAGTCAACTGGGCCAAAGCTCCTTCCATCGGGAGAGTGAAAATAGAAAATCCGGAACGCCGGGGATATCTGCACGGCCGCCGAGAGCAAGGATGTCAATGTGCCGTGGCACATGGATTTTCTTGAGGACGGAGGTTCATGGTGTTGTGGCCCAAGGGCTGATGGAGGCAGCCAGGCTACATGCGCCCCATTAAAATCTGGGAGTAAGGGGTACGTGGCCTCTTTCGTGATAACAACGACGAGATCGTGGGCATAGTAGGCGCGACTGGATAAACAGTAACATTTATTTACCGTGTCTTTAGCGCGGGGCACTACTGAAGAGATGATATGTGTGGGTAAAAAAATCGTTGAGGTTTCTGTTCCATCTTGTTAAGCCTTTCTCACGCCTTCAGGGTTTGGAGGAGGGTTTGCGTGGTCGGTGGAAGTTTCAACGATGAACACCCCGGCTTGGTTGGGGTACGAGAGAGAGTGGATCTCTTCAAAGTGTGTTATGTTATTCCTTGCAGGGATACTCTATTTTGCACAATTCGGTCAGCTTCCGAGGCTGAGAGAGACTCTGTATAATTTCTTGGCGGTTGTTCCTGTGCCATGGTTTATCGCTACGAATTTCTCGCTCGTAGGAGTCCTTCATGTTCTGTGGAGCATTGTCTTGCCGAAACGAAGGGATCCACGCCTGTTGGTGGACCCTAGTCCAGTGTAGGCAATTTTTGGTATCAACCCGTAGGCCCCAGAGTTTCATTTATTGCTCTTTCTTTGCTTACTTAACGAGAATACTTCGAAGTATATATCAGAAAGGGTTCTAAAACACATTCCACCAATCAGACGCACCCATACAAGTTGCCGGTATAACGTAAGACCCATGGAGCAAACAAGAACTATGAACGACCCCCCGTTGCTCACGAACAGCCCAAGTCTCCATGCACAAAGAAGAAAGTAACTGCAGATTATGACCGCTTCATCCCCTACCCAGAGCACGGCGGACCGAATATATGTTACATGTGCCGGATTGCGACCCAGCTCGCGGGGCGCAACCGCACAGGAGCTTTGCAGTCCCACACCACCCTTAGTGCTTGTTCGTCCTCTGGAGGGACTACTCCTCCCATTGTCGATAGAAAGCCGTAGGCGCGTTCCGAACAACGCAAGAGGGGATCAATGAGGGCCCTGGCTTCATCCAAGCACGTCTCGTTTGTCACCTGGATCAGAAGGTGGCGCAGTGATATATCACAGATGGAGCGAAATTGTCGCAAAAGAAAGTAATATTAACCAGGCAAGCTCAAGGGCACTGAATGGCGTGCTAGGCCGGCCAATACGAGCGTAAAGCAGGTGTGGAGCAGCCCCGAAGGATATACCCAGGTGTCCAAAGGGGGAGTGTCCCCAAAAGCGGAAAATGCCCGACGGGGGAAGTGTTCACAGCATGTACATTATTGTCGATATCTTGGGGTATTCGCACCCCATAACAAAATATTCCATGTACACCTTCCTATGGTCATCTCATAGTTAAAATCTTTGGTGCTTCATGCCCCACAATCCGCAAGTAGACTACAGCATCACATGAAAAATTAGCGCGCTTCTAGACTAGTGGGAAGGTCCTCAAGCAACGCACCGGAATGCTTCCGATGATGTTGTCCTTGCGTCCGAAGGAAACCTGTATGCTTGTCTCTTGCCCCGGAGCCAGCTGTACAGACGGCTCTCCTCCCTGAGCCATGTGCGAACGGCGCAATATCAGAAATCGGCCGCTACCTTTGACATTTTGATTCTTGGCCGTGCCCCTCCTGCTCTTTAGCGTACGCGGAGCCGTTTCTCACCCTTTTGCCGCAGCTTTTTGGTGGTGGTGAGACCTTATGGATAGGTGAATACTTGAAGGGAAATATGAAAATGCCGCACAGCTTACTAAGTTCGAAGTACATACTATCGTCCTTTCAAAACGCCACATACTATTGGTTCCGACTCAAATGTGACACTCACGTGTGGAACACCCGCAACCTTCGTTTGCTGTCCGGTTTCCACACCCTTGGACAGGAAATTCTGTGTGTCAATCGATCTTTGCACCTAGCATACACCACAACAGAGTCAAAATGGACAGCGGAAACGGGGCGCTTGCGATTCAGGGACATGATAACACCAAATCCAGTTCGATCCTTGTCATGATAGCATGCAGCTCATTGCCACAGACGAGGCTTGACCTTGAAATCAAAACCTTATGAAAGTCTGTTCTGTTCCTTTGAGTTTGATAAGCACGCCGCATTGACGAGTGCTTGTGCCCTCCACGAGAAGGTGCAATTCGTGTGACGACGAAAAAAATTGTTTCTTGCCAACAATAAGGATGTTCAGCAATGTTTGTGTGTTCGGCAGTATACTTTCACACGGCCAAGCTTACCTGCCCTACCAGATCGCGAACAGGCCTCTTGGGTCTAGCCATGGCATAGTCGATCTCGATCAGAGTGTCAGCGCTCAGGTGGTTGTCTTGGCAGAGTAGAATGCCGAGGGTGTTGTTCGCTTCCACAGCTTGTGCCATGGCTCGAAACGAGGTGTCTGTCCCCCCACACCCTGACAAGTCCAACTCCAGCAAAGTTCTACGTGCACGCCGGCGGGAAGGTCGCGTTCGTCAGAAACGGCATCCGTGTTGACTTTATGTACATCTTGATAGATTTTTTCCCTTGATATCGGAGACCCAATGACTTTATCAGCACGCTAGTATGTTGTGCTCCACTTGCTTTTGTTGGTCACATGCAAAGTACAATGTGGGTTTTAAGGGACACGCGTGAAAAATAGGAAAACAAGAATATCTCCCGTGCTTCAGCTTCTTAATAAGGATATTTTCTGCGCCGTTGTGTACTCAGGTGGCACTTCCAAACTCTGAGCGGGCTATCCATCTCACGAGTTCTTAGCGATCGCAGTGGCCAACGCTGCCAAGCCCGTGGCACCAAGGCGATTGTTGGAGATGTCGAGATAGAGAAGGGCATCATTGGAGAGAAGCATGGCGGCGATGGCCTTACCACCTGCAGTTTTCAGCATATTGCACGGGAGGAGCAACCTGCAATGATATGACAACAAGTATTAACGGCAGGGAACCGACACAGGTCGTCAACGTTGTGCCGGAAGGTGAGCTGGCTGTGATTGCGAAGAGGAACGTATGTTACGTTCGCACTATTGGAGATAGCTCCTTTTCTTGGCGAGGAAGTGCAAGTCGCGGATCCATATTGCTGGGATCAGAGGCGCTGGCGATACGTCAGAGACTATGAACAGCGTGAACAAAATGCTATTTTCAAATTAGCCACGCTACAAACACGACTCGGTTTTGTTCCCGTTTTTCTGTTGCCAAATATCAGTTCATGGCACTGGGTTTTGTAGTTGACTTTTCGTTAATATTTTCACTTCGTTAGTACGTTTACCTCCTGAGGGCGTGGTTATCCGCAAGTACGCGGGCTAGTGCCGATGCGCCGTCGTTTCCTATGGTGTTGTGCCCTAGACACAGCGTCTCGAGGTGTAGAGACGTTTGTAACGCGTTCGCGATGTCTTTTGCTCCATTGTCACTCACGCCGCATCCGCCAACATACAAACCTGTTGAGAGTCAGTGCCACAAAAAAGGGGTTATTTCCTACGGTCGTACCCGTACCTTCACGTACCAAGAGCAAATACTTCTGTTCAGCTTTCGGACTGTGCTCTACATGATCAATTTTAATAGTTTTTTTATGCAAGCAGAGTGGCCCGGTTAGGGGCGCTTTTTGTTTTGCAAAAAGCTGTTCAGAGGGATCGCATGTATGAATGTGCGCACAAAAAAAGAACAATTTCCAGTCGGGGGGGGGAGTGAAAACAGAAGATAGGCGTCCGTCCATCCGTCCGTCCGTCTGTCTGACCAGCCATAAATAAGCCGGCAGACTCGAGCCCATTTCACCATCTAGGCACCAATTTGCAATCTAAGACTCCGTGTGGAGGTGCCTTTTTTTCCAAGACATACTATTTTTCCGAAGTCTATTGCTAAGGAGGACCCGATTCGCAGGGTACCCGTCGATTGACTTTTACCTGAATCGGTACACCTTCGCATTATCATATTGATTGGCGCCGCCCACACGTCAATCAATATAGACTATTGTGATACTGCTGTGTAGCAAAACATGAGCCTGCTGCAGGTACGTTTTTCAACAAAAAACTATTCCACCTCCCGATCTAGTAAAGCACTCCTGTAACAAATGCGGTAGACTTACACTGCTTGATTTTTTGCGGTATCGGTGAAAACCGGGGTACTTAACACGAACGAAAAAGATCAGTAAGGAGAACCATCGTTAGTGGAACATCCCCTCGCAGCATAAACTACTGTGGTTGCATCGCGACGATTCCACAGCTTTGTACCAACTGAATCTACCGTAGGGTCACCTCGTAATCGTTGTCCAGCTACAGCACCCTTCACCAAAGTTGGTACGCCTGCGTTCCCCAAGGAGTTCCCTGAAAGATGCAGCTCGCGCAACTCCGGAGACTTCGCAAGGGCTGCCGCTATACCCTCTGCACCAGCGACCCCAATGCGATTGCTGTCAAACATGGGAGCAAGAATTGACAAGGCCTTGCAACAAATTTACGATGACTAGACAGAGAGTCCTGAGCGTGCGTTTGTTAGCAGATCTCTATTGAGTAGAAAGTTTTTCGACGGTTCTCCGGCCGATCCACCCTGAAACCGCGCGTGGCCGTACATCCACACACGCTCTTACCGCACTTACTGGAGGTGAATCTGTGGTACTGCATCACACACGTGGTACGATAACGTGTGGTTCATGGAAGCACTATTTGCTACACCTTTTAACAGGGAAAAAGAGTCACAACACATCGAACTGGTAAGTATTCCTTACTCTACCTTCTTGCTTTCATCGCACCTGCTTAACCACAGGTCAAGGAGAACCCCCCCGCTGGGCCCCACGGCGGAATCCACAATTGCGATTGCGCCAGCGTCGCCGATGAGATTACCGGTAAGATTGAGTTGCTCCAATACAGCATTGCCGAGAAGACCTTGAGCTAGAGCGGTCGCGCCTGATTCACAAGGCAGAGATCGAAACCACTGCGATGAAATGACAATGGTATCGGGTCGTGTTAGTGGCCATTCGAGGGTCTTGCCCTCTGTTGCTGGTATGTGGCATGTAGAATCAATCTATGGAACGGGCACATAGCTCTACACCATGACGATACGTTCACGTATTAGAGGAATACCCATTCGGAATCAAATAGTGGGGAGCATGGTAGCCTGTAGTTCGGCTACGGCTTACCGTTTGACCCAAGAGAGTACAAAAATTGGGATCGACTAGGCAAAAATTTCCGTTTCCCACGTCACCACTGGTTTCCGCTTCACTACTATTCCTAGCCCCCGAACCCGTTCACAGACCAAGGTAGAATATCTAGCATTCGCGTTGGTATGTTGTCGGTGTCTCCCTTATCTTCTATTTAGCACGTGTATCACTGGCTAATGTGACTTTTCTCGCTGTGCGGCTACATGTAAAATGAATTTAGAGTGCGGATGGTATTCGGCAGCTATTTACATGGTATTTCGGACCATGAAGTACCACGAAAGTCCGTATTCTCATACAGGAACTCGTGAGCACAAAGCCCACCCACAGCGCTTCCACCTAAAGTTGCACCTCAACTATTGCACCATATTTATGTACTTGTGAAATATTGACGACTCCTCACCCGCATCTCCGATCCCGCACCGTTTGAGACTCAGCGCTCGGATGGTGGATATCCCCGTTCCGTCAGAACGCAAAAGAGGCACAAGTAGCCTAGCTCCCTCATCCTTCAGATCAGGGTTAAGCGAGCAATCCACGGATGTTGTTGACGACCTTTCTCTCAAGACAGTTGCAAGTGTCTCCGCTGCACCAGCTCCAATATTGTGGGCCGACAAGTTGAGAGAAGAAAAGTGCGGGTCCTCGCTCCACGTTTGGGCCAATTTCCGCACGGCCGTGCCATCTGTTGTAAACCGCGAATCCGTAATAACGCGTCGGAAATCTAACGGACTCCTCGAAACACACTCGTACGTACCAGCACCAGTATAAAGTGTTGATTATATGTATAGAAATACACAGCAGTTCACATGAACTCCGAGCGGGTCCGAAAGTAACCTCCAATTAAATCCCACAAACTTGTTCATCATCAACGACGTACCAAAGATCTTATCACGGTCGTGAACTTCCATATGACGTGGTATCTTGAAGATCGTGAAGTTTGCTCAACGGGGAGAGTAACCAGAAAGGGTGAGACAGGAGAATGATACAAGTCCTGGAACCCTAGATCCTCGCTCCTCGCCTCCTCGCCTCTCGCTTCGCTGGGGACCTGAGGAGGCGGCGAGAGTATACCTTTTTCAGCGGTGAGAACCTTTTTGTACCCCGAACAGTAACAAAACCTCACAACAGGCCGAGTTCCGGCATCCCCGCCTGGACGTGCTCCGCGCTCCTCCGGTCCCTCCTTCCTCCTCCCCGGTGTTTCCTCTTACGGTGGCTCACAACTATGGAGCATGGGATATGGCTATGCCTGATGATCGGCAACAGGTATGAAGTGGTGACTGGCTCTTTGATTTGCCCATGGTCGAGAACGCCTTTCGCAACATCATGAACCGCCCTGATGCAACACAAACGTACACACGTACACTTCCTTCGCAGTCGCCTGCACTGGGCTCTGCTGGAGAGAAACGACGTCGTGGAAATGTGGGACACCGGCCACCTACGGAAGCGCGATGGAGTTGAAGGTCCTAATGCTACTTCTGAGGCTGTTCAAGAAGGGATACCTCTGTCACTCATGTCTTCGAGGGCACGAGCCCTGCTAGGGGTGGGTACGGGGAGATGCTATTGTTGTTGTACACGCGGTATGCTACTCCGAACTTCGAACGGATAGCATCAGCTGAGCTCACGGCATCTCTGCTGGGGTCAATATATTTCTATTGCTGCCAAAGATACTCAATGCTACTCAGTTACTTTGAACTCAATGTAGAACACCACGTATTTTGTGTCGACGAACGACTGCCAACGTGTGATGACTGAGTGTAGATTCTGCAGACTTTCCCGTCACTTACTCATTGGTACATTGTTGTGCCACCTGAGCGTAAGTAGTACACTGCTGTAGATGCACGTTGCACACCGGGATTGAGGCTGGGCCATTCAGGGATACAAGTAGAGGTTTGTACAAGTTGATTTAATCGCCTAGACCAATTCAAACTTTAGTTCAGCAGTATTACAAACGGTTTCGTTTCTTCTGTCCTTTTGACCTTCGTATACAAAGGTATTGCGCTCATCTGCCCTCCGACCTTGAGTTGTACCTAGTACAAGTTATCGATTACGACGTACATATTGTCTAGCTTGTTCTGTTGTAGATTACCACGTTGTCCCGGTTTTTACACGGCGCCCTGAGCTCGTAGGCTCGTGTTGGTTGTCACACTTGCTGGCATCGACGTATCAATCGCCCGATTAACTTTGGACATGAACAGACGCGAGTACGACGTGTTCTGCCCCAAAACATCGACCATCGTGACGGCCAACTCTTTATGTTTTCAGGTCGGCCAGACAGTCGAAGATGGCGTCCCTCCAACCGATGACGGGGGCAACACCTCAACATGCTATACTGCCGATCCGACGCGTTTCAAAGTTGCCTCTGTCGTTCCGGAAGAGTTAGAGCGTTGGCGCCGAAGATGCCCAGGCATCAGTCCGATCTCCTCGACAGATGCCCTTGCCGGAGTGCAAGAGTACCCGACGCTAGGTGTAGATAGAGCCTTGGCCGTTAGAGGTGCCGCACGGATAAGGTACGAAATTGATATGTTTGTCGATGATCTATAATAAGCCCGCGGGAGGTTTCTTTGAAAGCGGCGTTCTGTCGTCGTAATGATTTGAACTCATGCAAGTCTTGCGTATTTTGAGACGGCCAGTACAGTCGGTGAACATCGTTTTCATGTTCGAGAGCTAGTCAGGCGGTGGGACGATGCGTTCTCAACAGTGAAAAATTCATTTTTCGTGGCGACGCAACCTGAGAACAGCAATTCCGCACACATCCTACCCCACAAGACAACCCCAGACCGTTTGCTGCCACCGCGCATCAATCCGACAAGGGGATGGCCTGTACTGGTAATCGACTGCGGCAGCGCCTTGACATTCACGGCTGCTGATGCAAGCGGGAGGCTGGCGGGAGGCGCAATCTTACCCGGAGTACGGCTCCAGCTCGCTGTGCTGGGATCTCGCACGGCGCAGCTCCCTTCTGATGTCGTCTTACCGGATGAACTGCCCCTCAGGCAAGCTTTTCGGGTGCTTTTCGCCACGTGCACGTCAGTTTTTGTAATTTTTATTAGTATCCCCATCGCCGAGGAAAAACACCATCGTGGGTCTTACGTAGCGCATTCGAAGGAGCTTCTGTACTGCCAAAGTTTGAGTGACTTTCCTGGTGGCACGGACCACACAAGATTGAAGCACGCCACTCTCTCTCCGCCTCCCCCCTCCTCCCCTCCCCGGGGGAGGCCGAGGCCCGCAAGTGCAGTTAACCCTCGAAAAAACCACCCAACAACGACGGATATACGGTCCCTAGCACCGTGTAGGAGAGGATCCTGAGTTTGGCGGTCGGGAGTTACCGCGGTCACGAGATCGAGGTAGGTCGTGATAAGCCAACTTGGAGACAGCTGCCGATGGGTTTGAACCCAAATGCCCCGGTTTGGACACCGGGGCAAGGCAGCGGTGGAGAGCACGGAGAGGGTGGCGGGATGATCGCACACCGTGTGGGTAAGCACCCAACAGGGGGACGGAAAGGGTCCAGAGCTGGAGAGCCACGCCGCTCCGGGACAGGAAGACACCTCGCTGGGAAAGG